TACAGACACTATAAAAGAACTTGCCCCGAATAAGCTTTACAGCCTAAGTGGGGGTGCACTAAACACTAAAATGTTTAACTGCAAAATCATTGCAAAGTAGGGAGTATGTTGTGCTCCAAGGATAGGAATAAATCCTGAAGGTTCAAGTAGAAATCAGAGGGCGGTAAAAAGAAAGTTGTATGCCTGAGATGCAAAATAGGAAGGCCAGCTGATTTCCTGTCTCCAGAGTAAATCCTTCTATATTGGCCTTATGTGAGGGTCAAGGGCTTACTCAGTAACAATTATGGTTATGACTGCAGAGGGAGAATCCTGTTCTGTGCCCGAAGGATTTCACAACCTAGTTGCATTTACAGTCACCGGCAGCTTAGGTATCCCATAAAACATGGATTATGCTTGCACCATAGTCCATCCTGGGAAATAGACCCACTTTGATCCTTTTGCGTGGTCGCAGAGGTTTCATCCCCTGTGACATTACATCAGAACTGAGTTTGGCCTACTCAGGGGATCAGGAGTCTATGGCCAATACCACCCACCCTCCTAGCACAAAAATGATTGGGAAACGGGAAGGAAACAAAACTGCTGAAGTCAAGGGGAAGATCCTACAATATGAGGTAACGCATAAATAGACTACTGTTCCTTCCAGGGATGGGGGAAGGTAATCAGTAGGAAATGGTGCTTCACAGGGTATGCAGAGCCAAGTGCTTTCCTGAAACATCTCTCGTATGAAGGATCCTTCATTCGTGATTCAGCATAGCTCCTGCTACACCACAACCGTAGCTCTCCTTGACCTGCAGTAAGTCTTCAACATTTGGGAACCACCCCAGCTGCACAATGTTCACCAGTCAAGGGTGCTTGAGACACCCTAACGTGTATAGCCAGCACAGTACACGAGAAAGCTGACACCATCACCATCACGCTTGCCAGCAGCCTTTGGTGACCGCAGCACATGGACCAGATGGGACGCACAGCTGGCCTACACAAGCATAGCCTTTGGTAGAGGCATGAGGGGCATCTTGAACTCGCAGCTGGGGAAGAATCATCAGAACCACTTCAACAACTGTTACACTCTGAGTGGCTCCTCAGGTGAAGCAATGCTGAAGCTGCATCTCTTTCTCCTCAAAGGTCCATGTGGTGGATACAAACATCCTCTCTGAGGACAGCAGAGGCTGGGATGGGTGGACAGTGAGATATTCCTGGGAACTTTCCCCTCAGCCTGTCTCAATCTTGTCATGATTTTTGCAGGCTGAGACTACAGATTTAGCATTATGTCTTGTCATTAAAATCCAGCAAAGACAGCGATTTCTAGTCCTATTTCCTATTGTTGTCAGGCAAAACTTCCTGGATAGAGACTTTTTACTTCAGCTTATTTATTTATTTTCCTTCGAGTGCAGCCTAAACCCTCCCTTCCTGTTGGGAATAACAGCTGCAGCATACAGCATCAGCTTGCCAAGCCTGAGAGACTGTGAAATGTCATTTACCTTGGAGCAAGATGGTATCAAAAAGAACAGCCATGTGGGCCTGACTATGAATTCATTCCATGGCTATGTTTAAGAAGAGGAGGGTGAGTTGCAGTATCAGAGGCAAAAGACATCCTACTTTCAAGCTAACACTTATATACGTGAAAGGACTGTCACATCTGAAAGCATTAGCGGAAAAAAAAAGAGAATTTTGGTTTCCTTGCTCGGTGAAGCACTCTGAGCTTTCAAAGGCTGCAGATACAAAAGTATTCACCAGGGCAGGAAACTGATACTTCTTCTGTAGGTTAATGGGGACATAGTGGCCCCAGAAGACCAAGTAATTGGCTGATGAAAGCCACAAAGCTGACACACAGACTTCCCAGCATACCTGCATTATCCCACAAATCTGGAGGAACCTGTATAAATACCATAGGCTATAGATAAAAAATGTTTCAGCTACCATCTTGTTGCCTTCACCATTCGGCCTTTTTTGTTTTCTTGTTTTTGCAAATGCTGTATCTAGAGATTAGGAGAGAGTTCAGACAAGCTGGAAATTAATGACTAATCACATTTCTTGTTCCTCCCTGCTCCTATCTTTCGCTCCCAGTTCCTTTGCTGCCTCTGCTCCCCTCCGGGTGGTGGGATGAGGGGTCAAGGGGAGGCAGAGGGCCCTTTACTGCTCTTTGTTTAGTGCCCTCATCTCAGGCTCTTCAGGAAGCATTCTGAACTGTGTGGAGCTAGACATGCTCTCTTCCCTTTCAAACTTCACATATTTCCCATTAATGATGAGTGGGCAAGGTCAGTGAGGGTCTCTTTTATGCTCTCCTTGAGGGCAAGTAAAAAACTTGGGTCCCAGGTTCTCCAACTTCTTAGGATTTTCAGACTACTGAACAAGCAAGGAGAAAAGTCTTAAGAAAAGTGAAGATACCAAGATGTTAAAGGGGGTTTTCCAGTCTGTGCTCTGTTCTGCCAGAACATTAAACCTCTTATGTAACCTTGGGTACATCACTCCCGTTAATTTTAGTGCTAGGAAAGTGGCCTACAGAAGAGCGAAGAAGATAGATAGGTGCAGAAATAGAAACAATTATTGTGATGCTGAATGTTGCCAAGACAAAGTTTGGTGTTTCACTCTCCCTCAAAACAAGGGGATTTTTAACAGCCAGGGTGCTTAGGACAGCCCTCCTTGCCGACAGCAGGACCACATGCCTCCTGCTAAGCCTCTGTGGCTCTCTAAGTCTTGCAGGAGAGGATACTTGCTGCATGGTGACCCCATTTCAGAGGACGACTGCTACTTGCCCCCCCAGCCTTTTCTTTAGCGTGGCAGATCCTCACCTAAGCACGGATTTGAAGCTTCTCCGTTTAGGAAGTCTTGTAACCACAGTAAGTATCCTAGCAAGTAGGCAGGAGACATTTCACGCAACAGCCATTTCTTAAATAAACAGTTTGTTTTCACCCTAGATTTGCTTTCTGACCTTAGGCTGTGTATATTTGTGTGAACAGAGCATCCTTGCCAGATAAACCCCCTGGAAAACCCTAAGACCGAGGCTATCTAGTTCAAGTGTCCTCAGGTGCTCAGCTGCCCACCTCAGCCGAGAAGGCAGCTGCTCTGGGCTCGGACAGAAGCAGGATTTTAGGCGAAGGAATGTATCCTCACCTTAAAATTTGCATGCCTGCGGCCTCACGACTGGTTTCGTCGTTAGGCAAGGCCCTGTGTGAGAACTCGCTTACTCAGAGGCAACTAAATTATTCCAGTGAGGTTTCTTTGTGGCCTCCACGCTCATACCTGCGGGCTCCTGACCTTCAAGTTTTATTCACTGTTGATAAAAGGCCGGGGGGGG